TTCAATTTCATATTTTCTTTTCTCATTAAACAAAATTTTTCCCTATAGTTACTAATTGGAGTATGACACCTTTGTATCTTTTAATTTTTATTCATTCAACTTTTATTTAAACCTCAATTTATGCCTTTACAATTATAACATCCAATATAACACATAACTTCCAGTCCAGTTCTGCTTGGTACATTCTTAAAATACACACTAAGTTCTTAAGGAGATAATATATATATAACAATAATAAATAAAATACTTATTCTATTCCAATTTGGCTCTATCATTAATATTAGTTATAATCTTTGATATCTTTAACATTTCTTTTCAATAGAGTATCATACTTCTAGGAACACTTATAATATTTCCATAATTTTTTCATGTTTCTTTCATATTTCTCTTCACTTAAATTTTTATAACACATTTGTAATAATTAAAATGTTCCTCTCCTTTCCTAATTTCATTCTCTCATTCTCTTTATTTCATTTATTTATTAAACATTCCATTCCATTACAATAGTATTTTATCTATCATTTTAATCACATTTGTTTCATATTTTCAAAGTTCATTTCTATTTCTAATATAACAATACTATCTTGTGTACCCTTGCAGAATCCCCCTTTCAATTGGGTTTTCACCCATTATCTCTGTGTCTAAATAGGCTTATACCCTTAATCCTTGTACATTTTCCCTGTTTCTCTATGTCCTGTTTCTGTCCTTTATAATTTCTTTTCCTTTCCCTCTTCCCCCTCTTCTTCTCCCTTCCCTTTTTGACCCCTTCTCTCTCTAATTCTGATTCTCTCTTCTGTAATCCTCTCTTCTGTTTCTTCCTAATGTTGTAATTACTTTTCAAACTATTCTTTTTTTGGGTTGTTTTTTCAGATCTTAAATTTTTCACTCTTTTTCCCCCCTTTCCTTTCTTTTCCCCACATAGAAATACTTGGTCATTGAAGATGGCTTCTTCTTTGTCCCGCCCTTCTTGTTCTACAGGCATTTCTTGTTGTTTCTCATAATTCAGGATCTCCATTTCTAAAAATTGAAATACGAAGCCAAAAGAACCTCTTCCTTCTTGTGCATCTTCTTTTTGTTTTTTAAGTTCCATTCTCAATTCTTCCAAGAGTGATACCATTTTAAAAACTTTTAAACAACCACCCGATTCATTTTAGTCCTTTAGATCCAATAGCCAAAAATCCAAAAATCACCAAGTAATCCAAATAATCCAAAGCTGTTTCTTCTTGCTTCTTTTTTCCACTTTCTCTTCCTGGGGTTCTCTTATCTTGGTATAAAGTTTCAGTTAAAATGTATCTTTTAGGACTCTTGTTAAAGTTTCACTGTTAATTCCTTTTACTTCCAGGTGGTCTCCTCCATTTTTCCAGATCCCACCCTTTTGTTTTTTCCTTCTTTTAAATTTTTTTTGAGAATCCAGAAATCTTTATTATCCCTTGGACATTTTATTTTCAGCTTAAATACCTGTTAATGTCAAAGTGGATTTTTGCCGGTTTCTTGCTTAAATTTCTTAGTTGTCAATATAGGGAAGAAAAGAAAAAAAGCCAAATCCTTTCCCTTCCCTCTCTCATTTGCCACTTCAAAGTCTTCTTTGGGAACAATGTTGTTCTTTATCATTCAAATTCCAGGGTACCTTATATTGTTGCTTTTTCAGTTCGACCTGGCCAGCCAAAACTTTCTCTTCTTATCTTCCTCCTGCACATTCTTTTCCGGTCAAGTTCTTTTTTGAGATGGCCATTTCTGCAACTGCCTTCGGGAAAGGGAGTAATGGCCAGCTGGGGAGGAGAAATGCGACTCTCCCTCTCCTCGACCCTGCTGGTGGTCTCCCCCCTCTTCACCACCTCTACGGGATGGCTTAGCCCTGAAACCAGCCGGCTTGGGGTGCTCCAGCAGCGAGCACAGATCAAAACTGCGCACGATCACAGATTTCAGTCTGTCGCTGAAGAAGCTCAAACCGGAACCTCCTTACTGGGCATTGTTGAGTTCAATTTTTTTAGCATTCTCTAGATTTAATTTTCAGAATTCAGAAAACATTTTCTACTAATAAGATAAATATGATTGAAGATAATCATATTTAAACAAACAGAAGGGAAAAAAACAAGCAAAATATAAACATAGTTTTTGCCATTGGAATAAAGGAACCTAACAAAGTATTTTATAAAGTTGCTTTAGGTATTTTTAAGTAATTTAAAACACACAGCCCAATTACATAAATACCTTGGTAATAATTTGCTAGTTCCTACTTATCAAATTAGAAAATAGTGTATTATCCTGAAAAATGAGGGCAATTTTATGAAACCATGTACAGAGCTAGATAGAAGTATGAATGTGGTGGAGAAATTATGATTACAACCAATCTCTTCTTTTATTACATATGAAAGATGAGTTTTACATCTTACAGAAAAGGAATGTCCATATTGGATTTCTCAGACATTAGGATGTATGCACATAGACTGCTAATCACATGTTTTGAACAATGGGTAGAAGTTAAGGGTCAGTGTCTACAGACTCAACCATGATATTCTGTCTGCATCACATGCAATCCACAAATATGCTCTGTGCATATGCTTCTACCTAATTTGCCAGCTGCACTGAGCTGAAATATAAATTCCCAAATAGTTTATATATACAAACATTCAAGTTTCTAATATTTGCATTTAATTAATCAAGGGTTCAATTAAAAAAATCAATTATATGACTTTTAATGCTTTTAAAAAGTTATATAACAAACACCATCTGAAAAGAGACAGTGTCCCTTCTATTATGGTGGAGGTATGAATTCTTCTGCTTGTCCATATATCATGTAAAAATAAAGGAGAAATTTTGTTGCAGAACTGATTGGAGATTTCACAGTTCACAGATATTAAATCATACAGACTTTACAAACATTTGAGGTTACGATGGATGTCTACAGAGCCATTTATGACTTGGTTTCAATGATCCAGTAGCCACATACCCCTTGTGGTTATGTGATCACATTTTGAGCTAGTTGCATTTACAACTGTTTGCAGCACCCCGTAGTCACATGACTCTGATTGTGGCCTATTTTTGCTGGAAGTTGGCATTTAATTCCAGCTTCCAGCAAAAAAATACCCATTGGGGAAAACAGGCTAGCTTAATGACCACAGAGTTCACTTAATGGATGCCGTAAAAATGTCATCAAATCAAGCATGGTCATATGGTGACAGCTTAATGACCACCACAATTTACAACTATAATTCCAGACTTAATTACAATCATAAGTTAAGGACTACCTGTATTGCCCATTTTTTAAAATTGGTTCACTCTGCTATGCTTTACATAATATACTACATTAGTTATAAATGGTCCAGGAATGCTTATCAGTATATTCCTGGATATAGATGAAGAATTAATGAATGACAAACCCTTAGACTTCCACTTACAACTATTCTTGGGGACAAGGATTAATTTAGAGATAGGTATGCTATTTAAATGTGATCTAGATTGGGTGCATTTTGTGTTTACGTGTGTGCACAAATACAAAGATTTGGTGTGTTGCTTTCTGCTTTGTAGTCTTGAGCGGCATCTTACAATGAGGGAAAAAAGTATCATTTGACAAAAGCAGATTAACTCTACATGATTAGAAGTCTCTGACCATGATCAGCTTCTTCACATAAGAATCCTATTCGCAAGACAAAGCTCTGAAAAGCACATGGGTGTTTTTTTTTCCATTTAGTGATCACATTGTAACAAAAAGAACTTGTTTCTGTTTGCCTGGTTGATCTTTTGGATCTCTGTGTATTACAGCTTCTATAAAATCTAAAATTTTCTTTATTAATATATTATCATCCCATTTCTGGCTATTTTAATTTCTTTTGCTTGCTTGCAAAATAAAGTATCATGCTGCTGCTACCCTTTCTTCTTCAGCTACTTGGAAATGTATATAGCGTTCCCTTTGAGCACCTGGGAACCTATTGACAAGTCTGGGGAATTTCAGTCAAGAGTCATTTTTATATATTTAGTTTAGCTAAATATATAACAAGTAATGTCAGATTCCTTCTTTCCCATTTTTTAAAAGTATTAAGAATCATTACATAATGGCTAGGAAAACCACGGTGAAGTACTTTTTTTTATAACAAAAGGACTAATTGAAGTGCGAGAAAGGGCTGTGAATATCACAGAAAGGGTATACTGTAAACAAAGCAGAGGAGATGACTTCATGTGTGAAGCTATGAATAAGCTAAGAATAGTTCTGTTAAATTTCATGTAAATCATCCCTATCATACAAAGCTTTTCAGCTCGGTCTTTAGCGTTAGTGCCTGAAAAAAGTGTACTGCAATCTCCTTAGTCTTTAAATGGCAGAGATGCCATTTTCTAATGATGTATGACTCATTTATTTCTCATAATCTTCCTGATGATTTATTTTTTCGTTCTTTCTCTTTTGAGCGAACAAGATAGTCTTATGAGGGAGGGGGAATGAGAGAGTTGAGTGGTACGCTGCTTAAATTCTTCTTCTGCTTTTTCATTGGTTACATATTCTCCTAATCTAACCAATCCTGATACATTGCTGCCAGTTTAAGCCCGCCTCCCCCCCCCACCCCCCTTGCTAGACTGAGGTTAGCAAGGACCTATTAACTGGAAACTGATTATATGCAGTATGAGAACATCTTTTGATACAAAATCACAATCAGGATGGTTGAATAGGAGAGAGGGGAGCCTAGTTCTTTTTATTTGACAATTACTACATGAATTTGTAAATGGATGAAGACACTGTGGCCTGTCTTTTGTTAACAGTGACTCTTGCTATTCAGACCTACAAGTTTTCAAGCTTAAATTAGAAAGCCTTTTTTTTACGTCTACTGCAAATGAAAAGAAACTGTAGCATCAGCACTACAATACTTTCTGCAATTTGACTTGGGGGGGTGATACTGCTTTTCTTTTGCTTTAGTTCTATTTGAAATAATTACCAAGAGGGTTAGGGTTTTGTGCGGTGATTTTTTTTTCTCCCCCTGTGTGGGATATTCTTCTCTCCTGCCTCTTTCAAAATGCCCTCCAAAGAGTCTTGGTCAGGGCAAAAAGCTAATAGAGTTGCTGTTCACAACTTGAAACAGGAGAACCGTCAAAGAGATTTATTGATAGCAGCCTTGGGAATGCGGCTAGGCTTGCAGAAGTCATCTGTGACAATCTGGCAACCTCTTAAACTCTTTGCTTATTCACAGCTGACATCCCTTGTCAGAAGAGCAACTCTGAAAGAAAACGAACACATTCCAAAATATGAGAAGGTTCACAGTTTCAAGGTAAGATGCTCAACTGCATCATTATGCTTCTAGCCGGTCGTATGTTGAAAGCTTGTTAAGAAATGTAATGGATTTGCATGTCTCTGTGTTGTTCTTATGCTGAACAAAAAGTCAGAAATTTAATGTCTTACACATAATATAATGTAAAAGGCATCAAGCTTGATTTGCTACAGCTGTTATATATTGCCCTGTTTTATATATGTGTGTGTGTATGTGTGTGTGAGAGAGTGTGTGTGTGTTATATATTGCTCTGTTTTATATATGTGTGTGTGTATGTGTGTGTGAGAGAGAGAGAGTGTGTGTGTGTCTGTGTGTGTGTGTGTGTGTATATATATATATATATATATATATATATATATATATATATGCTTATAAATGCAAGCTATTAGGAAATATTTCGGCAGATTTCCTGGTAGAAGATTTTATATTTTCCCCCTAATACTTAATCAAACATTTGGCCCACTTCACTATAAACTCTAAAATAGTATTGAGTACTGAAAAAATATAATCTGTACATCTCTTTCTTACTAATTGTTTTTCCTGTCTATTAATTAATCATTAATATTGAAAATGGCACATTGTTATAACCATTCTCTTAAAGCTGGTAAAGTCTTAAGGAGTCACTGAATACAGGCTTTGCTTGTTTGGTTTTTACTTATTTTTCTGTAGTCTATTGCTATTCTCTTTTTAAAAAGTGACATTCTTCCTGTTATTGGGGAGAGATCTCTGAAAAAACGATGCTTTTTAGTGTTTTTCATTGAGCTAATGGTGTTGTAAGCATTTGTTGTACCCATCTAATTAACTCTTAATTGAATGTGTGTCTGTTTAGTTTGCATAAGTTATTATAAATAGAACAATCAGTTATCACTGGAGAGGGAATACCACAGGCAATCTCATGTTCTAAAAATGCTGACCATAATGGTGAGGGTAACAATTTAGCCAACATCGTAAGTTAAGTCAAATCTCTACTTTCCTTCTTTTAGAAAATGCTCTGCACTCCATTTTGCCCACTCCAACTCCTGTCCTAGCCTTTCAATGTGTTTACAAGAACTCCACCTTCTACCATGTAACATGAATTTATCAAAAGATAGCAAGATATATAAGTAAACACATGCATGTACCTGATATGCATTAATGTGCCTCATATGTATTAATGTCTACAGAAAAAGTGTCCAACCATGACAACTTTAAGACCTGTAGACTTCACAATTGTGGAGAATATTTGTAGCTCATTGTAGATTTTGGCGCAAACATATCGAATTAGAACCAGCATATGAACCAATAAGATAATGAACCATCCGAACTACCAATCAATGACAGAACCGACCACCCCCTCGCCAGTTGAATTTCACACCTCGCAAACAACCAGTCATGCGAACTACTGACCACAACACCATACAGGACCTTTATAAACAGAGAAGGAAACTGAACAGGACACTTCACCCTAAATCCCACTGAAGATGTTACCTAGTGTGGTAATGAAACGTCTGGGAATTACACAGCAAGCTCAGAGAACAAACCACTGCCAAAACGTGTAGATTTCAATACCCAGAATTCTCCAGCCAGCCTTGTTGGCTACAGAATGCTGGGAGTCGAAGTTCACAAGCCTTAAAGTTGCCACAGTTGGACACCCCTGGTCTAGAGGGCTTCCTGATTTCAATCTTCGCTGTATCAGGAAGCTGCTTAGTACCGTTAGGCAAATCACACTTAGTTATTCCCCCAATCATAATTGGTAACATGTAGAGAATAATATTGCTTTAGTATATATGATTATTTTAAGGATTTGTAATCTCATGTTGAATATAAAGTGCTTTAAAACCTGACAGAATTACACATGTTGTTGGTGTATTACCTTTTCAGTTAAAAGGTTGACTGCAAAAAAATAAAAATCCAATTTGGGACTAATGCTTTTTGAATTTCTCCAGTGCCGTTCAAGAGATTTAATGCCAAGGTGGCCTTTTCTGCTATGAAACTGTCACCATACCTCATACCACCATCCTATAATTAGTTAAAACCAATCAGCATTAACTTCCAAATCAAAGTAGGCATAATGAAGATCAAATTGATACAATTTTTGAACAAAAATCCTGTTAAATTAATGCTACAATTGTCAAAGCAGTCTCCTAATACAGTTAAATTTATGAAATCTATGAGAAGAATGGAAAACAGAGTCTAAAAACATGGTATCATCACCTTTGATAATTGTTGTCATGTTTTTGCCTCTTACAACTCAACTTTCCCCAATCTGATAATCTCCACATGTATTAAATTTATACCTCCTATATCCAGCCAGTCTTCTGAAGCCCATCATATATTAAAGGCATTAGGTTTGTGAAAGCTATTTTAACCTCTTGGGCTGTTTTACAATATTTCAAAAAGTTTTATTTTAAATGAATGCTAAAATTAGAAAGAAACACTGCAGCTTTTTTTAAAAATCTCCCTGGCAACCAAATAATATGCTCCATTTATTTTTAATGGCAGTTTGAATAATGCTTCCTTTGGCAGATCTTCAAGGGAGTAGAGAATATCACTCCACTGATACACAGGAGGCATTATCACAAAAACTGCCCTAGGTTAACTGTACAAATTATGATCGTTCATAGTGAAGAGTGAGTCTCTAAGATATGGAGCTTGGGGACTCTGTTACAGTACTCTTGGGAATATTGCAATCCACTTTTCTCTGGGGTAAAAAAAGGCAAGAAATTAAAAGCAAATAGCAAGACGAATTTGAACCTAAATAAATAAAACCAGTTCAAAACTCATTTAAATACAGTAATGCAGTTTTCTATAACCTGATCTTATAGTATAAACAGTTTATATAAAATTAGGCTCCCTGGCATGTAGAATTATTATATAGAGTAATGTTTAAACACTTGGAAAGCATCAAATCACGGCCCTGCAAAAGACTCCATAAAGATCTTGGCATGTGGTATTTGTTATATAAGTGTGTGTGCGTATTTCCTGTGTAAACAATTCAGCCAGGCCTTTGTTGGTGAGCAAAGTATGTTTCCACATCCTTTCCTTGAAAACTGGAACAGCCTGTAAGTGCTTGAAGACTTAAGCACTTGGTGGGCTTCCCAGGGTTTCAGGGCATGCCTGTGCATGCATGTGTTTCTAGGGTAGCACAAAGCAGAGAGGTACTCACCGTGTGAATTTTCAGAAGCCTGGTAGTGGGTGTGCAAGATACAGTCTACATAAAAGGATTAAAAGTTGGTCCTTTGCAAAGAAACTTGCAAAAGTGCTACCCTCCCCCCAACATTGTTCAAATCAACTCCTCCATTGGTTCCTCCATAAGCCAGGCCTGTCATCAGCCTTATCAGGGTCCTTGCTTATCAGGAAACTAAACAGAGGAGTTTCTGCAGGACGGACACCATTGGAACAAAACGGAGAAGTGGATGATAACCCTTGAATGGAGGTCCAGGTACATACACACACATTCTTTTGATTACCCAAAATGAACCCATAAGCTGTGCTTTAAAAAGTGAGGGGGGGGTTGAGGGGGTATTTGACTTTTTAAACCACTTTTTGAGCCATTTGTCACCCAGAATTCTCTCCTTTTGTCTTAACTTATAGGTAACGGTCTCAACAATCTTTTCAGCCTAAATTGTTCCTATAGAACATGGGTGTCAAACTCAAAGCCCATGGGTCGAATCCGGCCTGCAGGATGCTTAGATCTGGCCAGCAGGGCCACCATGGAAACAGCGAAGGACCGGCCACAGTGCCTCTGCCAGTGAAAACGGAACTCGGGAGGGCCACTGACAAAGGGTTTCAGGAGGCCATTACAGCCAAAAATGGAGCGCCTGATGGCTGCACGCAGTCTTCCCAAACTATGTTTTCACTGGCAGAAGGTTGCAGGAGGCCGTTGCAGTCTAAAACGGAGCTTGGAGCCCATTTTCGCTGGCAGAGCACTCGGGCCATCACAGGTGCCCCCAACACGAGTGACTTTGAGCTGTCCATTCCCACCCCAGACCCCCGAGATCAAGCACAACCCTGATGTGCCTCTCAATGAAATCAAGTTTGACACCCCTGATATAGAGCAATTGGTAATTACTCCTCTCTGGAATGAGAGCACAAGACCACTGTAATAGGTTTCATGGGTAATGGCCCTGTGAAAAGTGTGTGTGTGAGGGGGGACAGACAATCCCACTGGAGCAAGCTCTGTGGTGACTTAATTTCCATTTTCCTTCACTCAATAATGTTCTTTATCTGATTTTAGCTAGCTATTTCTTTCTGAATTTCAAGCTGTTTTTGGGGCCCAGCTCTTCAGGTGATCCAATCAATTGGAATGATCTTACATATCAGTGACAAAACCATTAAAGGTGTTCTTGTTTTAGTCCAGATGCTTTTCAATCATTCTTCACAAGGTTAAATTGAATGCTGGATAGTTGGAATTACTTTTAAGGTATTTATTAGCTGTAACTGTTTGCGTCTATGCAATTTAATCTGAAAGGTTTTATTTTGGTCCCTTACAGTTTCAGTTCTTCAGTTAATTAGTTAATTAAAGAACTCCCAGAATCCTCAGATACAATTCTCTACAGCCCTTTATGAAATGAATTTTGTAAAAGGATTCCCGAAGGATTTTTTTTTATGCATATACTTATGCCTGTATAGACAATCCTATTTCTGGGGAAGTGCCTGTAAGGCAAGATGGCACTATTTACCGCTTCATTTCTTTATTTATGTGTACAACACAAAATAAACATTCATGTACAACACAAAATAAATATTCGTGTATAACACAAAAGAACATTCTCCACTGCTTTCCCTCTATTCCAAGATAGTCAAAACTGTGAAAATAGACTTCCCCCTCCCCTCAATTAGCTAAAACTCCTGTGTTTATCCATATTTTTCTTGGTAAATCTATCTTTGACAAATCGATGCTTTCTAGTCTCCAGCCTTTGCATGCACATGGCTTTCCATGTGAGAAAATATAGAAAGATTGCACTGAAGCAGCCAAAGCTCTTGCTTCAAGGACATGATACGGTGTGTCACAGCCTCTT